ATATTCTATGTGTTTTTTTAAATTTATTTATTCTGTTTAATCAATAGTTTTCATTATGTTATAAAATATTTTCTATAATTAGGAAATTTTAAAAAATGTTGATCGATTCATTAAATCTTCTAAAATTTACGTTGCGCATTTATTTTTCTTCTCTAAAATCTAATTTTCTTATAAATCTAACGTTGGGCCAACTGATATGGTAAGGGGCTCGTTTTACCTAGATCTTCCTTAGAAATTCTTTGATAAGAATATAAGTATAAACAATTCAGCAAATGTGTCAAAATCATGGAAGCATTTTTAATGCGGAGTAAGTACCAAACACATTTTGCTATTTTTACTAAAATACCTAATTGTATGCGAAAGCAAACTAAAACTGACGCAAAGGTATTGTATGTAAATAATGTTCAAAAGTTTTGAAAACATGTAATACCTCTTTCCGTTTTAAAAACTATTCATCGATGTATTAAAATTATCTATTGGTATTTTGCACACTTTTTAAACAGACGCGTGATTAGATGTGCCCTTTCTGGGAAGAGGAGAGAATTTACTGAAATCAAATGGGGAAATGTAAGAGCATTAACATCAGCAGAAATAGGAAGCGATCATAAATTGGTATTGTGCAAAATCCGAATGAAAACACATATCTGTGATAACAAAACACCAGAATACACCACAAAGATAAAAGTCGAGAGCTTACAGGATGACTCCACAAGATACCTATTCCAAGAAGAATAACAGAAAAAAGCAGAAACACATACATTACAGAGTACTAATATCAGAAGAAGAGCTACAAGAACGAATAAAAAAATTAAAAAACAGAAAAGCACCTGGTCCTGATAAGATAAACAATGATCTATTAAAATATGGAGGGACAACACTACGCAAATGGCTCCTAAAATCTCTTTCGTCGACCTAAAAAACGCATGTGCTTTATAGATTTAGAAAGTGCTTTTGACAGGGTGAAGCGAAATGACATCTTAAATTTATTACAAGCTGAACAAATAGACCTTCAGATAATAAGTACAATTAATGAAATTACAAACACAAGACCACAGTTATAATGCCAACAGGAGAAACAGAATGCATAGAACTAAAAGGAGAAATCCGTCAAGGAGACTCGCTCAGCCCATTGTTATTCAATATGGTGATGATCAAATAATACACGAAGTAAGAAAACGACACGGATACCACATGGGAGCGCATAAAATCACGATACTATGCTATGCCGATGATGCAGTACTAATTGCTGATAACGAAGATGACCTACAAAGGCAGCTCCACACCTTCAATATCACAGCAAACAAACTTGAATATGAGAATATCAGTAGAAAAACTAAATGTATATAGTGATCAATAAAGAGCCGTGTAGATGCAAACTAGAAATAGACGGCAAAATAGAACAGGTAATGAAATTCAATTATCTAGGAGTAGAGATCACTAGTGACAGGGATATAAGAGCAGAGACCATAAGCCAAGCATCAAAAGCGGCAAGAGTAAGTGGTTGCCTCCGAGAAACCATATGGAGAAACAAATATCTGACCACGGAAAGCAAAATGAAAGTATACAAGACAACAGTAAGACCAATCCTAACATATGCAGCGGAGACAAGGACCGATACAAGAAAGACGAAACAACAAATCAACAATATCGAAATGAAAGTATTAAGATCAATAGCGGACATATCATTAAGAGACAGACAAACCAACAGAAGTATACGCGAATAATGCAAAATTCAAAATATTAAAAGGTGGATAAAAACAAGAAAAAAAAACTGGAACGAACATGTAAACCGAATGGGACCAGATAGGTTGACGAACATCTGTAAAAACAACAAGCTGTATAGCAGAAGACACGTTGGAAGGCCGCCAAAAAGGTGGAAAGATAATATACAGTGTACAGTCAACAACGACTGAAAGAGAATAAGAGGCAGACAAACAGTAATTGCACGAAGAAGAAGAAGAAGACATACATTACAGAAAGTGATGTAGTCGAAGAAAACTGGGCAAAACTTAAGTCTAATAATATCTTAGATTTGGCCAAGGAAGTTCTTGGTGAAAGAAATATAAATAAAAATAAATCGTTCCCAAGGCGAACTCAATGGTTTTGTACAGAAGTCAAGGAAAAATGTAAAGAAAAGAAAAAAGTTTACCTGAAAATACATTTCAACTAAAACCATACAAGAGGACATACCATAATTACAAGACAATTAGGACGAAAACCATGCACTTGTAAAAAAAAAATAAAAAATTATCACTGGGAACGCTTTTCGAAAGAAATGGTACATAATTTTTTTACGGTCTGCAAATGGAAATATTGGAGCTTCATAAGAGGGCAAAACGGAGGTAAAGGAACTAATAGAACCAAAACGCATAGAAAAGGTTACATGCATTGACTACCTAAAAAAGCTATATGCAGAGGAAGAAGAAACGACGCTAGAACCGGAAACACCAGAAATTACCACAAATGAAGAGCTTAATATAAATGTACGACGGGATACCAAACGAGTTACTGAAATATTGTGGAGCTGAAATGACAGAACAATTAACAACATTAATTAATAAAATTATGAAACACAATAAAATACCGGGAGAATGGAGAAAAGCGAACTAATTCTACTATTCAAAAAAGGAGATAAAAAACAGGCAGAAACTACAGAGGTATAAACTTGTTAAATACTACGCTAATATTTACAACTAAAATTTGAAAGATCGTGTACGGATGCAATATTCGTTATAAAGCAAATTACTGAGAAATCACTAGAGTATAATAGACCAGCATTTCTGTGTCTGATTGACCTAAAGAAAGCGTTTGACAGACTAAGTATGTAATCCATCTTCTGTATAATAGAGAAGTTCCCCTAAATATTATAAAAATTATCGAAAACATCTACCAAAACAACAAAATGGTCAGAAATAGATGGACAACTTACAGAACCTATAGAAATAAGCAGCGGAATAAGACAAGGGGATTCATTGAGCACCATGATCTTTAATTTGATCATGGATGAAATCATCAAAACCGTTAACAAAGGAAGAGAATACAAATTGGAAAACAAAGAGATTCAAAATACTATGTCGAGACGACGCAATATGGATATCCCAAGATGAAGATAGTCTGCAAAGACTGGTCCACAGATTTAACATAAGAGCAAAATAATTAATATGATAATTTCATCTCAGAAAAATAAAACAATATTAGTCGGCAAAGAACCAACCAGATGTAAAATAGAAATTGATGGCATCAGTATTGAAAAAGTACCTAATGGAAATAAAATACCTGGGGATTACACCGTCTAGCTATGGAGACTTGGACAAAGAAGTGAGAGATCGAGTAGAAAAAGCAAATAGACTGGCAGGATGCCTTACTATCACTATATGGCGAAACAGACACATTAACACTGAGATGAAGTCAAGAATTCATAAAGCCTGTATAAGACCAATAATTATATATGCCTCAGATACCAGACCCGACACAGCCACAACGCAAAGGCTACTGGAAACGACAGAGATGAGAGTACTGAGAGAACTGCAGGAAATATGCTGAGAGATCGAAAGAGAAGTGAAGACATTAGAAGAAAATGTAATCTACAGTGTATAAATGAATGGACACAAAATAGAAAAAAGAATGGAATAACCACATAAGCAGAATGGAGAGACCTATTGTCGTCAAAATAGCGAGAGATAAGTCACCAATCGGCAGAAGTATCGGACGACCGCGCAAAAGAGGGAGTGACAACCTTCCAAAGAGGTATTAATCCGCAATGAACAAGCAGAATTGCTTATAAAGGGGAGGAAGAAGAAGAAGAAATGGGGAAATAACTAAAGATTAGGTAGATAAAGTTTGGAACTACCACCGAATCATTGCGAACTTAACCCCATTTAAACCTGAAGTTATTCGTCCACTACTAAATGGTTCAATATCAAAATTTTCATGATTTCATGTGAGAAATTGCAAAAAAGCTATAATAAAATATTCTTCCGGAAATAACCAACGTACTCTCATGGGAAGAGATCGACCTATTTATTTAGGTTCGCAATAAATATATGTGTTTATATTTAGCATTTTTCTTAGCTGATTAGGTACATAGGAACTTGGTATTACGACTCAAAATGGCATTGCGATTGAAATAAGAACTGATATATTTTCACTAGAGAATATATCTGTAATGCTATTGCACAATAGGAGAATATTATTGATGCTTCCATATGCCAACAATTATACAAAGTCACGTAGGTATTTTCCAGATCTGAATAGATTCCCGTTTAGATATGTTTCAACCATAAGTTGTGCATTGTGCAAGTACTCTTTTGAAAGAAGCCAAAAAGCTCAAATTATTAATTTTTTTATGTAATTCACATTTCAAGAGTGCTACATAATCGACCTAATTTTGAGTAGAGAAGGCAGAATTTTGTATCAAACTGTAATAGTAGTCATATTAACTATTTAATCATTTTTTATTGTTAAACCATTCGTTATATAATGTTAACACATTCGTTAAAATGAGTTTTATGAATGGTTATAATACAGCACAATTCCTTATAAAATACAAGTAAAAATGAGTCATTTTGTGGAATAAATATGGATGTTATTAGATATGCTCAGATATGGTCGAAATGTGTATTTATGTACTGAACTAATCACTAAAATTCTTGTAATCAGTTCTTGCTAAAGTAAACATTAGAAATTCAACCGTTGTGGGGAAATATCGGAGGATATGGCAACGACGCGGAGTTTGCAACATGTGGTGGAATGATGGAATCCGTGCGGGAAAAGGGGGCAACGATCGTCGAATCGAGACAGACAGCGTATGACGCCAAAGTGATAGTCACAGCGGCGCCAGTATAGTACAATACCGTGCAAAAATTTGTACAAGGATTATCTTATTTATTATCAGTATGTTCTTGAAATGCCAATTAATGCGATACAAATTATATCGAATCATACTTTGAGCTAATAAAAAAAGTTCAAGTCATGCTATAAAAAATTTGAAAAGTACTTACCTTTACTACAGAAAGCGATTTCGCCTACGTACTATTACAAAACCACAATGTTTACATTATGCTAACACTATCTTCACTCCAATCATCGATTATTCCAACACAATCACTAAATATACAATAATTTGAATGTTAGGACTATAAAAATTACAAGATTACGAAAATATAGAGTTGGCACTTAGTTATAAATGTTGATTTATCACTTATTGTAATGTTTCATGACTCTTACGCACTTATCTTACAAGATTTACTGCTAATTTGAGATAAATCTACAGATACTGCGTGTACAAAATACACTAAATATGATATGATGGGTCACACGGCGCCATGTTTACTTGTTTGACTCTTCCGTCTCTCTCGCTCGCCCGCGCGCTTCTAGCAATCGCAGTATAAAGCTGACCATGAACACTCCAGTCCGGGACTAAATCATTAATAATAAATACATAACGGCCACATACGCATATTAACTAGTTCAAAGAAGTCTTTTACGAAAATTTATTTATTTTTGAAACGAAAATTTTTTCAGTATAATAATCTTATTTATCTACCTGATATATAGTCGAATGATTCTGTTTTTAGTGAACCGCAGTCAATTGTTAATGGGCTATCTTATGGGTAGTCATAATTATCTCCCAATCTCCTGGTACGTAGAAGAAATTATGTACTATACCCACTCTCCCATCTAATTACCAAAGTTTCTCTTCCCATATCCTACTCTGATGTCGGACAGGGGCATCACTAGTACCAAGATAGAGCGTAAGGGAAATGATATCACTTTAAAGATCCGCATGGATATCCTTAGTAAAATCATCATGGACCCACTAGTCGATAGTTAACTTAGTGATCACGGAGCTCGGAATTCAAGATCCGACAGGGAAGGACAATCAGATTTAGGCATATATTTAAACGGAGTAATACCAAAATCATAGCTGAAGTCAACGTTTATTGCTCTACCAAAGAAAACAAAATCAGTATCCTGCAATGATTTCCGACCATCAGCTTAATGAGCCACATTTTAAAGTTATTTCTAAAAATCATACATCAAAGGTATATAGACTATGCGAAGAAAAAATCAGCCGTACACAGTTTGGTTTTCGAAATGCAGTGGGTACGAGAGAGGCTCTTTATTTCAACGATGTAGTGATCGGAATTGCGATATTTATGCATGCTTCATTGATTACCATAAAGCATTTGATGCAGTAAAACACGACAAGCTGATGGAGATATTAACAAATATTGAAACACCAGTGATCTAACAATTATTAGCAATATATACTATACAGAATAAAAATAAACATCAAAATCAAACGTGGAGTTCGACAGGGATGTATACTATCACCTTGCCTTTAACATATACTCTGAGGAAATCTTTCAAGAGAGTAGAAGATGTTGAAGCAGGAATTCGAATTAACAGAGAATGTATCAATAACATCAGGTACGCGGATGACACGGTGGTTATTCGCTGACAGTTATGAAGTCCTCCAGGAGTTGATGAATAGAATCACAGAAGCAAGTCAGAGATATGGACTTTCACTGAACATTAAGAAAACATGTATTAATGATCTCTAAGAAAGAACAACAAATTGAAAGAATCCGTGTGAATTGTCAACCAAGAGAAAGAGTAAAAAACATACACCTACTTTCTCTTCCATTATGTCGTAGGAAGTTGTATTTTTCTCCTCTGTAAATATGTCCTAGATAGCTCGTTTTTCTGTTTTTTTACAATATTGAGGAGTTTTCTTCAGTACCTATTCTTCTTAGCATTCGTTGTTGGTCACGTGCTCTGTCCAAGAGATCTTCAGCATCCTTCGAAAACCTACATCATCTTAAGGCTTCCATACACACATACTTGTAATTCGAGAGTCCATGTTTCCACTCATATAGCAATATGGAATAAATAAACGTTTTTATAAATTGGTATCGGATATCCAACGATAACGTAGAGTTTATTAGGATTTGTTTCATTCGTTGAAATGCGGACCTAACATATTCTATCGACCTCGTGGTCAAGATCGTTTGTTATCCAGCAACCAAGATACTGGAATCTTTGTACTGGTTCTATATGTTGTTATAGATACCAGTTTTATTAAGAATGCAAAAAGGAAAAGAGTTGTTAACTACAATAAACAGCCAAAATTGAATACCTCGGTCACATTATAAGGAACAGCGAAATATATGGGTTGTTGCAATTAATTTTCAAGGAAAAGTAGAAGGAAAACGAGGAGTAGAAAGGCGAAGAATTTCCTGGCTGGAAAATCTGCGTACATCGTTCAACACAACAACCACAAATCTTTTTATAGCCGCAATTTGCAAAATATAGATTGCCATGATGGTCACCAACATCCGAAACTAATAGGCACTACAAGAAGAAGAAGAGATAGGGAACTTTCATCGTGAAAATGTCAATTATATTTTTTAAATCTACAAAATAGTCTAAATAGAAAAAAGCGGCTTTCAACCATGTTCCCCATCGTGTTAGAACGAGGTCTGGTGGAAGTGGAATATTTGGAAAGATTTCTTTATAAACTTGAATTCTTTTAGGAGATTTCAGCAATACTTTTTTATGGTTGACGTCAAGGAGTTTCCAAAGAAACCTCTAATTTCTTTCTTAAACTAGAGGTAATGGATTTTGGGAACAGCTATGATCTTGAAAATGACACAAAGAATATAACTTAAATATCTCTTTCTTACTCAGACTCTTTAAAGTCTTTTACAATATTTTAGAATCTAAGATATGTAATTATATTATTAATGTATTGGATTTTGACAAGAGCTATGCATTATGCCTTTTTTAGTACACAAGTTTATGTGAAATGTTCAAGGTCATAGCTGTTCCCAAAATCCATTACCTCTACTATGTGCTAAACAAGTAACGTGTATTAAGTTGGTATAAAATAACTGGAACTTTAACATCGCTTCAAAATATATCGGACTGATAAAGGCAACGATGTACTCAACCACAGCAATGGTCCGCATACAGAATGAACTTCCTGAGGTCTTTGAAATATTTCAAAGTCTAAAGTAAAGTTGACTGGCTTCAACACTGTTTAATCTTGCTCTTGATCATGTCATAAGACAGCTGAATATCGGATCTCTAATCGGACAGCCAATCTCTTAAGAAATAAAATCAGTACAACTTGTCACCTACGTTCATGACGTGGAGGAGGCGAAAAAAACATTCACAACCAAACAGTTTGGCCAAGGAGATTAGATTTGTAATGAACATACAAAAGACGAAAAAAGACTAACAAAGACAAGAGCGAAGAGAATTAGAAATCAAATAAATCTAAGGGACAATGTTGAAGCAGTGGAAAGTTTCTTATATCTAGGAATTTATTTCTCGCTAACTGATATTCTGATACTGAAGATTAAGGTCTATAAAACGTAATTAAACTAATAACAGGTTATGGAAGTGAGGCATGAGTGATGAAAAAATTTAGAAGTTTTCGAAAGAAAAAGTCTAAAAAAGATCTTTGGATTAACACATGAACTTTTATCTTCTTCTTATAGTACCGACTGCACTAATAAAGGTTGACTAAAGCCATTGCAAGTTCGTCTCTATCGTCTGGCTTTCTTAATTAAAAACGTCTGCGTGTTCAACCGGTCCAGTCGCGAATGTTTTTCAGCCAGGATATTTTTCGTCTACCAGGATGTCTTTTTCCTTCGATTTTACCCTACATAATTAGCTGAAACAACTCATATTTCTTATTTCTAAGTATGTGATCCAAATATGCTGTCTTTCTCCTTTTAATTGTGGTCAAAAGTTCTCTTGTTCTTCCTATTCTGTGCAACACCATTTTGGTTGGAAATATGATTGGTCCATGGAATTTTCAAAATTCTCAAAAAAAGCCACATCTCAAAAGCTTACAATTTTCTCGTTAAGTCGACATTAACAGTCCAAGCTTCGGTACCATAAAGAAGAATAGAGTGGATATAACATTTTACCATTTGATATCGGATGTGCAGATTGAGTCTTTGGTTACTCAGAAATTTCCTCGTTAAAAACGCTGCTATTGATTGCTCTATTCCTGATCGAATTTCTGATTTCTGATTTAGATCGTCAGTAATCCAGACTACTAAGAACTTTATTTTATTCACTTGTTCAATATCTTCATTTTTTATCTAGGATCCTTGCTATGACTTTACCCCTCTTACTGATAATCATGGTTTTTATTTTTTTTATGTTTATTGTTAACATAAACTGTTCCCCAGTATAAAAATAGATAACAGTTATAACTACCACATTAACCAAAAGTTATTCTTCAAATCCTGAAGAATCTAAGAGCCCAAAAGTCTAAACAAACACCCAAGCAGATAAGAGCCAACGTAGGTCACTTACTGCATGACGATGATCACATCTTAATGGAAACAATATTTCGAGGATGTACTGACGCTTTTGTCCAAAAAGAATCCCAAAAGCCAAAGTGGCCATCTATAAGACGGTATTTGTGCCGATTTTAACTTTTGGTGGTGAAAGTTGGATGTTTACTGATCAATTAAGATCGAAAATACAGAGCATAGAAAATAAATGGCATAACCGGGTTGGACAGGATTAGTAATGAGGCAGTTAGAGAACATCTTAAGGTCTAATCAATTGTTAATAAAATTGAAGAGGACCAACTAACTAAGATGCTAAGACCAGCTAAAGAAGTATTAGAAGGGAGAAGACAAATTAAGAGACCAAAGGGCAGGCCAATGAAGAGATGAGACGATAATGTAACCTCAATCCTAGAGACAAGGGAAATTATCAAAGAACAAGAAAGAAACCAAGCAAACCATAAGAAGCAATGGAGAAAAATTGTGCAGGCAAATAACTAAAGACATTACACCGGACACCTTAGAGTAAAATAGTTTAGGATTATTGATTAATGATTTAGAAAATGTATATGTATAAAATAATCACATCCAACCAATAAATAGATGGGTGGAATACTTTAATCAGGCACTTAATATAGAGGAAGATAATCTCCAAGCTGAACTATATAAAGAAAGTGGTAATGATATCATAATGGCATTACAGCAGCTTATAAAAGAAATATGGATACACACATAAATCCCTCCTAATGATAATATTTGCAACATACACAAAAAGGAGATATCTTTGAATACTCTAACAATAGAGGATTTATGCTTCTAAATACAGCGTATATATATCGTATATCAGCGTATATCGTGCCATAGTACTGTGGAAAATATTATTTTCACAGTTACTATGGCACGATATACAGAACAGGTAGGTAGAAAAATACAAGGTTGGTTTCCGAGGTGGTAAATCGACAAATCATCAGATTGCAACCCTGAATTTTGGAAATAAACACTGGAATATGGTGTTGATACTCAT